TCCGTCAGCCTGGACCGGGTGCAGCGGGGCGTGCCCATCCCCGAGCACTGGGGAGCAGCTTTCAGGTGGAGCCTCCGGCCCCTGCCGCAAGCATGTCCAGCACAGACGCAAGACCCAGGGCCAGGCTGTTTCTAAGTTTCCACGCCACTACATGGACAAGGCAGGAAGTGCTGGGATGACGGGGGCATCGGCATGGAGCCCCCCAGAGGTGGCCCCAACACCCCCCTACCAGATGACCACAGCAGAGACCACCACTTCCTCCCGAGACGGGGGCAGACAACAGGCCAGCACCTCTTTGTCCAAAGTGCGCCCCTCTTGAGAACAGGATGTGGCAGGCAGCCCCCAGCGTGGGCGGCTTTCCCAGGACCCAGGTCTGGCCTTGGTGAGCAAGGGGAGGCTGGTGGCACCTCGTGGTGGCAACACTGGGACAAAAGGCTGGAAGCCAGTGCCACTGAGGGGGGCGAACACCAGCCTTCATGCTGGCTGTCCCAGATGCACCCAAGGGAAACACAGCCCTGCCGGCCGCCAGCCCCACCCCAGGGGGGCTCCTCCAAGGCACCTCCAGTGGGCTCACAACAGCCAGTCCTCGCCAGCTTCAACGCCCTGTGCAAGGGCTGCCGGCAGACGCTCCCAGCAAGAGAAACACTGTGCTGCTGAGGTGTACAGGCGGGTGGGGTCCCGTGCCCATGACCACTGCTCTTTCCAAAGGGAATCTGAACGCACCACCCCCGGGCAAACACCCCATAAACCCCAGCCCCGAAGCTCCCCTGGGTGTAGCCCTCAGGCGAAGAGGCTGCTCCTGAAAGCACAGCTTCAAAGGGGGCCGTGGCTGGAGGTGCCAGCGAACAGGACGGCTTTTCTGCTCACACCTCTGTGCCTCCGCACGCGCCCTTCCTTGCTCCTGGGCCACCCCTTCCTCCTTTCCACGCAGGAAGCTCCTGCACGCGCTCCAGCTCTGCATACACGCACTCGGTGCTCCCGTGGCCTCGGCCACAGCCCCCACCAGCCTGAGAACTCCTGGTAAGCAGACACTGCTGCTTCTCGACCCTGGGACCCCGCACAGGGCCCGGCGCAGGCAGCCCAGGAGCTCAGTCAGAACCCGCAGCCCTGGCTGAGGAAGGGGCCACTCACTGTGATAAAAGGCTGTGTTCCCGGCAGAAAGTGGACACACCCCGATGTCCATCACTGGTGGAAGGATAAGCAAAATGTGCCCACCTCCACCCAACGGAATCTCACTTGCAATAAGGACAGAACCGTTGACACGTGCAACATGGACGACCTTTAAAAACATTACACTGCGTGAACCAGTCACAAAAGACCACAGACTGGGATTCCCGAGATGTGAATCAGTAAATCCATATAGGCGGAAAACAGATTAGCGGTTGCCTCAGGCTGGGGGTGGGGACAGGGAGTGACTGCCACTGGACAGGAGGGTTCTTTGGGGAGTGATGGCAATGTTCTAAAATTAAACTGTGGTGATGGTTACACAACCCTATAATCTTACTAAAAATTATTTAATTGTATACTTAAAACAAGTTAACTTTATGGTATGTAAATTACATCTCAATAAGGCCATTAAAAAAAAGTCTAGAAACTCAAGCCGGCTCAGTCTGGTGTCCCCTAATCAGATTCAACTGTTAACACCACTGACATCCTCCCAGGAGGTCAAGAGAAAAACAAACCCCTGCAGAGACGTGTGTCTCTTTCAGAGCAGACAACACCCGAAGGCAGCTCTGGGAGCCGAAAAGGCCTGAGACCATTCAGCAAATACCTGTCAGCTGACCTGGAGAGGCTGTCTTCCACGGCACCTGTATTCAATGACCAACACTGTGGTTTCACCTTCTTTTCCAGAGCAGCCAGGAAGCTCTAACCTGCGCCTCACCTGCAGCCCCAGCGAGAAGAGGAGGAGAGCTCCCAGGAAGCTGCCTGCTTGTCCTGGCTTTGCCCAGCAGGCCCCATACAGGGCCAGTGGATGGGGGTTTGCGCCTACCGGTCACAAGGGGAGGAAGTGTGTTTCCTCTCCTGCATTTCCAGATGCTCAGAAGCTTCTGGATTGTGCTTTCTCTTGGGTAAAAATTTAGACTGGTATCTTCCAGTCACAAACGCCATCACTGCCAGGTAAGGATAAAACAAAAGTTTCTCCGAAACCACCCAACATTGTGGTAGGGTTCTTCCCTCTCCCGGACTCCGGGGAGCTGCCGCAGTCACGCGACGTCTCCTCTCAAGCCGGCTTACTACTCGGTGGCAAAAGACGGCACCTTGTCATCAGCTGTCCAAGATGCAACAGAGCCCGACTGTAAGTAGAAGCCCTTTCCGAGTTATGAACTAGTCTTTGCAAGAAAAGAAAGAAAGAAAGAGTTTAACTCTACAGCTACTTCACCTGCAAGCTCAAGGCAATACCAGGCAGAGGAAACACCCGGGAAAGAGACAGCAGAGAGCCACGCCTGCAAACCACCTCCAGAGAAGTCCCAGCAACGCTCCCGGTGCGCTGGCTACGTTTTGGCTTCCGCAGCAGGCTGCCCCAAAGGGCCCCTTCCTCAGCAGCAGCTGGGAGCGCCGAAGATAAGGGTGCTAGACTGCTTCACCTGCACGGCTGCAGGCCACGCTTCTGTCTAACCCTGACGGGAGAGAAGGCCGTGAGCACCTTCTGCTGCTTGGTTTGCTCCTAAGCTAAGTCCATACGTTGTCCCCTGAGATGAACTAATTCAAAGAAACACTTTCTTTAAAAAAAAAAACAAAAAAACTTTTAAAACATGAGAACTGTACTCCAGACTACCTGGTTGTCTTTGAATGGTTTCAAATAATAAAAATATCAGGTAATAGTAGAAAATAACACATTTCTCCCAATTCTTCCAGACTGAAACCTAGTTAAAGGATTAACAGCCAACTAAAGCCTGGCACTGAGCACCGAGAGCTGCACAGGCAGGAGCGAGCCTCCTCACCCATTGTGGACCCCTCGCGGCCGCGAGGCTCTCCTCCCGGCAACGGGAGAGACCTGGGGGTCTCCGTGGCTCGCTCACTCTGCAGCCTGCACATCTTCCTATTCTTACACTAGACGCACAATAAACACGCAAAATGGGCAGAAGGAAGGAGGGACAGAGGAACCCCTGGGCGTACCAGCTTGAACACAAGCTCTCGAGGGGGAACAGTACTTGACAACCGAAATACGCCACTGAAAACAGGAGGCGCACATTTAAGGGACTGTTAAAGAAACCACGATTCACAATGTCCAACATGCAACCCACTAAGTTTAAAAACACAGATGCATTCAGGTCGAGGTAAATGGGACTCAAAAACAAAAAAATAAAGAGAAAGAAAAACACATACACAAAGATAACCACGCTCCATCATAACCCTCCTTAAAAATCTCTATCGCCCTTTTGGAACTGTGCGTTTTTACGGCCAGGCAGCAATGGACGTTCCTTCCACTCCCAGGGCCCTCAGAGAGGCAGCAGCTCCCAGGGGAGCTCGCCAGCTTTCCTCTGGCACCTGGGCTGACAGAGCCCCAGCCTGCGGCCCATGACATGGGTGCTCCACTGTCCTTCGCTGGGGGACTACTTGGTTACCAAAGTCCTCACAAGGGTCACAAGAACCAGTTCCTCAGAAACCTAACTGTGGTTAATGTCTGAATATTCACAACAGTGACAGCAAAGTCCGTAGCCTCAGTCAGTTTCCAGGCACAAAGTACCTGCTACTTACGGACATTCGCAATGCAGGAAGCACAGGCGCAAAATGCAATCTGCTGTCTCTTCCACAACCCCACTGATCCCGCTGGTCCTCTGACACGAAGCCCTGTGAATTCCACTCACTGGATCAAGAGTCTGTTTCTCCAAAACAGACTCACTCGGAGGCCAGGTTGCTTCCAAAGCAGTGCCTCCCAATAAATCCAATGAATACACACAACAAGCAAGTGTGTATGATCAGAATAAAGCAAACACAGCTGTGTGCCCTAAACTCTCAGTGCCTGCGGGTTTCAGAGGCCTCACACGAAACACCTCTCCGTACCAACAGTAACCAACATTTACCACGTGCCAGGACTGCGCTAAGACTTCACTTCAGTTTATCCTTCCACAGCCCGCACTGCGAGTAGTACAATTCCATCTTACAAGGGATTTTTATAAAGAGGTGAAGTGGCCACCCGAAGGCACACAGCTAAGAAGCACAGGGCTGGAGTGGCAGTGCTGGCTCTTTAAGAAGCCAGGTGAGCCCTCCCATGCGTGGCTGGTCCCCCGCACCCCACACGCAGTCCTGGCTCCAGGACTATCGTCGCTGCCACACTCAGCACTACTTTGTCTTTTCATTTGTCCCCCATGCAGCGAGTCTTCCCTGGCCTCCCCTCCACTGGACTCCGGGCAATCTGAACGCAAGGATGGTTCTGATCCACCTCCTTGGTTATCCTCACAGCACCAACCGCGGCCCTGCCCCACCCTCCCGCAAGGGCCTGAGAGACAGAAGTAAAACGTCCACCAAGCCTTTCACCCCCCTTGCTGCACTTCAGTGTCTGGACAAGCCCTTGCACCACCCCAACACCAACAGCGACAGCTCCCCACTCTCGCCCCAGGCCCCTGGAATGAGTGAGCTGACTCCGGAGGAGTGCTCCAGGTATAGCTACGGAGATAAGCACAGATGCATAAGGACCACGCTGCCTGCCCTCTTGTTTCTCAAAAGGAAAAAAGTGGAAAAAAAAATTTAAATCACTTTAGCCAGCATAACTTTTTGCAGGCAACGTGACGACGTTTTACCTGTTTTACCTTGTTTCTCTAATTTCCAGCAAGCTGAACACAAAAGCAAACAAGAGGGGAAGCCCGGCCGCTGCTCCCTAAGCGCGAGCGGCTTCCCGGCTTCCTTCCTACTCCACCCTCGGCTCGGCCGCGCGGCAGACGCCCAGCGCAGCGAGCCCTCGCCTCGCGGGACCCTGCCCCGCCGCGCCCGACGGTCGGCCCCGCTCTCCGCCTTCGCCGCCATCCGGCTGGTGTCTCGGAGAAGTTGGGGTCCCTTACTTTTGGCTTTTCTTAAAGAGGCTGTTTTCTGCCGGCGTTCCAGTTATTATTCCGGAAACTACTTCCCCGCAGCAACCGGGGCGGGCAGCACAGCCCCCACCGCCCGGCCCCGACGCCGGGGCGGCGCGGGGTCGCGGGGCCTGACCCCGGACGGGGACGGAGCCGGACTGTCCCCGAGACGGACGGCCCCGGCCCGCCGCCGGCCCGAGCGGGTCCCCGGCCGCAGCCCGCGCCCGACGCCCTTGACCCGCGGCTGCCCCGCGCCCCGCCCGCCGACTCACCCCATGAGCCAGTCCATGGCTGCGCGGGGCCGCCGCGCCCGCCGCCCGCTTCGCTCGGCCTCAGCCCGGCGGCCGGAAGTAAACACTCGCTCGCTCACTCCCACACGCGCGCCGCCCGCGCCGCCGGAAGTGACGCGCCGCGCGCAGCCTGCTGGGACGCGTAGTCCCGGCGGCCCCTGCGGCCCCGCCCGCCTCGCGCCCTGCCCTGCGGATGCTGCTTTCGAGGCTGTCCCCGCGCGCCCGGACTGTCCCCCCCGCACCCCGAGTCTCTCCTCCCGCACCCCGACTCTCTCCCCCCCGCACCCCAGCTCTCCCTCCCACCCCGACTCTCTTCCCCGACTCCGGACTGTCTGCCCCCCCCCCCCCCCCCCCCCCCGGCGCTCCGGACTGTCCTCCCCGCACCCAGGCCTCTCCCCACGAGCCCTGGACTGTCCCCCTCACTCTGGCTGTCCCCCCATCCTGGACTCTCCTCTTGAGCACCTGGGCCTCCCCATGTGCCCCGGAGCATCTGTCCTTCTCTGTCCCAGGGCCTGGCCGGCAGCAGGTGCTCAGTGACAACTTGTCAAAGGGCTGGATTCCCTGTTCTCCCTGGGGAGATGCTTGGAGAAGCAGGAACCAGAGCAGAGGAAGCCTCGCCCACAGGGACGTCCTGCAGTGGGGGACACAGTCACTGGGCATCAGACAGGTGACAGCTTCAGGCCAACTGACCTCGCCCACTCCGGGGTCAGCCCGGTCTGCTGTCCCATCCTCAGCCAGGGGGAAGCAGCCCTTCCCCACTCTCAGAGGAGCCTCTCCAACGCTCCTGTCACCCCCAGGTCCCCTCCTGCCACCTGGCCTCTCCAGCTCAGGAAGGCTCAGGTACGACTCTCAGTTGCCATCAACAGAAAAGTTTGAGGTGAAAACGAATTAACAGATACTGGGTAGCTCAGAGCATTGCCAGGAAAAATGGAGGACTTGTGAGACCTTGCCTCTGGGAACGCCCCCAATCACAGCGGCCTCCTCCTGAGCCCCTGAGCCCCTCTCTCCTGCCTTCCCCTCACAGTGAGACCCGCAGCCTCAGGAGGCTGTGTTGTGGTTATGGTCAATGAGGTAAAAACAAGTCGGCTGGTGGGGGAGCTTCCCTTCCTACGAAGGGAGCTGCTTCCGCGTGGGGTGAGTCCACGAGGCCCGGGAGCCATCTTGCGACCCCTTCGTGGGAGGCACTGACTGAAAACAAAGACCAAGAAGACAAAAGGGCTTGGGACGGGAATGTCTTCAAAGAGCTGCTACTCAGCCCTGGGCTGCTTTCTCCACAGTTGTCGACGGGTGAGTCGCGTGGAACCCCGTTGGAATTTCTGCTGGTTGCAACTGAGCCTATTCCCACCTGATGTGTGACCTGCAGAGCTGGGTAGTGAAGGGACAGTGCTGCCACCACAGGCACTGGAAGCCCCTACTCCTGAAATGCTCCCTGGGGAAGGGGCTGCTGACCGGGGAAGCCAAGGGCACTTGCCTGCACCCGGCTGGCAGCTTCTAGGATGGGAGGCAGATCGACCTTCTGAGGAGGGTTCCCAGGAAGTTCAGATAATCGGCAGGTGGAGAACAGAACTGCCCACAGTCCGCCCTGCCCTGCTGTTTACACTAACACCGCTCCCCTCCCCCACACTACTCTGCCCACGAGGATGCAGCTGACCCTTAACACCTGAAACTATGCTCCCCAGGGGGCCCAGCCCACTCTCGTGAGCAACTGCCAGGAGGACGCTGGGAGATTCCGGCTCCCCCTTAATCGCCTGCATGGTCATGAGGCTCTTGGGGTCACCATGCAAACTTGATCACCAACAACCACCTGAGATAAAACAGTGAGGACAGATGAAGGACAGAAGAGGAGAGCTCATTTAATACGTCACGTCTCGGGAAGGCAGAAAACGCAGATACAAGCAAGGGTCTTCACTTGCACAGCGCGTGTGGCCGTGGTTGATGACTTTCCTTCTCCCGGCCCCTAGTCACTGCTTCTAGCCACCCACCAACTGACAGAGTGACCCAACCCGTCGTGCGTGAGGAGGATGAGCCCTTGGTGACCCTGCCTTCTTTGGGCCACCTTAATCTTCCATTATCTGTTCCCCTGGACACGGGCGTCCCAGGAGGCAGTGCGGGCAACCCTCCAGGTCCCCCCATGTTCCTGGCACTGCTGGCGGGAGCCCCGTGTGCCAACAGCCCCTCCAGTGACTAGCGCATCGGCTTGGAGAAGCTGTTCCACGCCTCCTTGCCTCGGTTTCCTTTTTTGTGTAATGGGAATATCAATATTACCAAACCTGTCCTAGGACTCTCTCGTGCAGTCCCTGGTGTAGGCTGGAGGTAGGGGAGCAGCCAAGTATGACCAGGCAGGCTGGGAGCACAGTCACCTGATCAGCTACCTTGCCCGTGCTCACGCCTCCTGCTCTTCCGTGATGCTGGTGCAATGCTGGGCACACCCCGTTTTACGGCTCTATTTTGCCCAGACCAGAAGGGGCAGTTCGGATCACACGTCATGTGACATCCCACGGTCTTAGGTATCGTCCGAGCTGGAGCCCAGCGGCGAGCTAAAACTTGCATTCCGAAGAACCACAGTTTATTTCTCGAGAGGAGGTGGCTGTGCTCCGACACCCTGGGGCCCTCCAATGTCACCCTCCCAGGAGAGCTTGCCACAAATCCTTAGCCTCACCGCGAGCGCTGCTGCATCTGTTGGGTCGCGGTGACGAGCCATGGAACTGCCTGTGCCGCAGCCTCGGCTACACCCTTCTGTCAGTTTGGGGCACATTCAAAGCGTGTCTACTCGGGTCTCTTGCTAACTAGTTAAGAACAGCACTGACAGTGAGTGCTGATCAGAAAGGATGAGTCACCTGCCCGTGTCTATATCCACGTCCTTTTCCTGCCTTCTCTTCCCCCCATCCTCCTCATTCCTCCTCCTCCTCTTCCTTGGTAATGGAATGCTGAGCAAAATGACCACATGAAAAACTCTTACCCAGCTTCCCACGCAGGCAGGGTGGCCAACGAGACGTAAGTGGAAGTTGTTGGGTGGCTTCCAGGAAATCTCTCTTGTCCTTCCCATCCCAACCCTCATCCAGTCTCTTGCCTCCTGACCAAGATGGGAAAGTGATGGCTGGAGCCCTTGCAGCCATCTGGGAGTGTGAGGCAGGTAGTGATGGCACAGCAGAAAGACAGAACTCGGGTTCCCGCTGAAACTCTGGAACCTCCACAGCAGTGCTGAACTTCTTGCATCTATACTTATTTTAATTGGAAAAACTCTGGATTAAATTACTGTTCTTTCCAGTGTCTCCACTTGAAGCACTTGTAATTGATATGTTCATCAAAATGTGTGTCTGTCTTTTTCCTGGTCGTAAGGTGCTCAAGGTGTAACAACTCATCCTTTGCTTTGAAGGGAACATCTTGATAGTCCCAGGCCACTGGATCCCCACAATGTCACCTAGGTGGTAAGTTCCTAACTTTCCATGGGATATATCCCTTTGGCAAGCACACGTATTAATTAGCATCTAGCGTATCTAGGTCCTGGCTCCAGGGCCCATCGACGTGACATCGTCCATGTGATTGAACGATGCGATACCCTGAGACACGCCAAGACAAATCCGTGTGGACCAAATTGTGGCCGAGCACTAGACCGACACGCCCCTGGGGCAAGGTGGTGGAGGGCCCCTGCTGCTCTGGTGCTCTCTGCTTATTGGGACTGGGGAGGGGCGTAGCTGAATGACAACCGTTGATTTGCCCCCGTAAGGACGCCACATCTGGAAGAGCCGCTGCAGTTGGAATCACGACGTCTTTCAATTTGCGATAACCCACTGTCAATCACCAACCCTCCTCTGGCTCCTGCGCAGACGAGACACGGGAGAGAAATTGGAATCGCAGAGGGGCCTCCTTCCCGGCATCTGTCGGGTCTGGGAGGGTGGTACCCACCTCTGGGCACCGCTGGGGTGAAGCTTTGCCTCGGGTCACCATGTTAGCAGGGAGGCGGAACCAGGGAGCTTCCACTGAGCCCTCTCTTCTCCCCGTTCGTGCATTTCTTTGGCAAAAAGTACCAAGTACCAGCTGTATAGGAGGCACTGGCGGGGTACTCGGAAAGCGGCGGTAGACGAAACAGACAAAAACTGCCCTTGCAGGGTACGGCAGCAGTGGACAGTCAACAAAAAACTAGTGGGACATGTACCACATGGGACAGTGGTGAGTGCTTGGGAGGAAAATAAAGCCAGCCGGAGGAACAGGTGCCGGGTGCTGCGGGCTGAATCGCGCCCCAAACAGGTGTGTTGGAGCCCTAACCCCCAGCACCTCAGAACGTGACCATATTTGGGACACAGTCTCACAGATGTCCTTTGTTAAGGTCATGGAGTAGGGTGGGCCTGGTCCAGTGTGCCTGGTGACCCATTAAAGGGGGAGATTTGGACACAGGTGTAGAGGGAGGACAGCCACCTGCAGTAGGAGACAAGGAGAGAGGCCGGAAAGGTCCTTCCCGCACAGCCCTCGGCAGGAGCCAGCGCTGGTGACGCTGAAGATCTGGGACTTCTGGCCTCCAGGACTGGGCCACGATACGTTTCTGCTGTTTGAAACTGCTCGGTCGGTGGCACCTTGCGGTGACGCCTTCCTCTGCCCAGCTCCAGGGGCCCCGGGGCTTGCTGTGCCGGCGGGAAAATGAGGGCCTTGGTTTTCCCAATTGTGCTTCACTCTGGACTGGGGGCCCCTGAAGGCAGGACCTGTGCAGAGATCCCCCCACCCCAGGCAGTTGCCCTCCATC